TGATCCTGTCAAGATCTACCAACTTCACTTTTCATGTAAGCAGACGTTGCATAATTTTTTGGTACTTGGGCGCGCTTCGAGAAAAGTTGGCAGAACTGAGCGAATCTGTTCGTTTGTGTTACAATAGGCATTGTTTGCCAGTTGCCTCGTTTTAGTGTCAACTTAAGCGAAGCTACTAAGTGGCAGGTATTACAAAAAATAAAGTAGACTTAGTTCCTTGAGCCGTGTGATTTCTTCGTAAGTAAACAGCTTGCTCCGAAGGTTCATATTTCTAGAGATATTGCTACGAGTAATTCTTTCAATGATTCAACACACAGTACATGTCAAAGTAAGACGACTTGTAAAATAGATCTAAATGAAGTCTCGTTTTGCTTTTCGTCATAAATTCGCTGATGCCTGCTACATTATAATAATAATAATAATGATAATAATAATAATAGAATGGCTCTTCACCCGAGTAAACTATCTAAGTTAATCTACACTAAAAAAAACTAACAAATTCATGATGATAATATACAATTGATAATTATAATACAAAGCATTTGGAATTAAGACCGAGCAAATTACGATAGACGAGATTTCAAAAAAGTAAAGGCCTGTTTTGAAAATGATTTGCTGTCCTCACACGATTTTGTTCCTGAAGGCAGCGTATTGAAGATCCGGACAGCAGTGTCCTGAAAAGTATTACTAACATGCGGAACCACCAGGTTAACTGTACTATTTGATCTAAGAAGTCGCGTGTGTTTCACCTTTTCGAGTCTTAAAGTTTCAGGCCAATTGTGGCTGTATAGAGCTTTATGGGCCGTCTTCAGTAGATGCCAGTCTCGACACTCTCGTACCGGTAGCCAACCTAACTTAAGTAAGGATTCAAAACTATTTACGTATCGACCTGTTACAAAGCTAGCGGCAGCAAATTGAATGCATTAAAGTCTCTTCAAGAGTTGCTGGGGAAGTGGGAACATGACTATATCACAATAGTCTAGTCTGGAGAGAATAAGACTTTCCGCAAGGTGCTTTCGTAGCTTGTAGGGAGTAAAAATGCTTGATTTTCCTGAGGCTTGCAAGAATAGTATAGCATGATGATGCTAAGTTCTTGGCGTGTTCATCCGAAAGAAGATTCTCATTCAGGTGGACGCCAAGTAGTTTGGTATTCTTGATTCTTTCAAGATCCAAAATAAATCCATTATTGTCCTTGTTCAGCCGTTCTCATTCAATTATTGTCTTTCTGTGACCATCACTGCTTTCAGGTTTTTATTTGCTCAAACAGTGAAAGGTTCACATTTGTGGGTGTTTTCAAATCACGGGGTTATCTCTTTGTTTGTCACCCGCTCGTATTGCCCGCAGTCTCCGGGATATAACACCAGTGTGGCGTCAATTTCCAAGGTTGGAAAACAAAAACTGATGAGGATATGAGGACGTGGTTTTTTTTATAATTAGTATAGTCAAGACTATGACAAAATTCTCGAACGTGATTGGTTATCACAAGCCCGATTTGAGCACTAATAGGACAGCGTACGCGTCATGCTTGTAATTGGACAGTATGATAGGACAATTAATGGGACAGTTAACACGTCATTTAGCCGGGTTACCTGTTTTTTTTATGAAAATGTATAGACGATGTCTATACGCTCGGACTCCACCGGGTCCTATTACCATTACCTATAGAGGTAAGGAGAATAAGGAAAATTTTCTAAAAGTTGCCGTAGTAAAGCAATGGTGGATTGAAGAAGAGGCTTAAAAGATTCAAAACTCTTGGTGCCATCCGCTCAGCGAGGTTTTTTCGGCTTTTTTACCCCATAAAGGTTGCTTCCCACCTTCATAGGCCGAAAAAAATAAATTTTCTTTTATTTGATTTAATTAAAGTCAGACGGTTTACTTACTTACTTCCTTACGTTTCCAAAAAAATTAAAAATCTCCGAAAGCATGGAAAATAAAATGCATAAAAAAGTCCTTGGATAAAGAAAAAGAGCAAAAAAAAACAGGTCCAAACAAGAAAGAAAGAGTACCATTCCGTCAAGAAAAGGAAAAACTCCTTAGTGAAAGCGCCTAATACTCCGCTCCACGCTGGCGTCCAGTTTTTCCGTTGCCTTTGGCAATTTTGCCTTTTCTCCTGTCGTCCTCCGCTTCTGCAATGCAATGCTTTTCCTTGGAAATCTCGATCCATCGTCATTGATGTCAGGAGGTCCCATTGTCCTCTTGGTGTGCGGTTTAAGAAGGCGAGATAGTCCTGGTGTGGTGCGAGTTGCTTACGAATTTTTGAGCCAAAATCTCGCATTTAATTCTGGGAAGAACACAGTACAGTCTCTTTGAGCGATTTTAAAGGGTAGTTAGATTTGACCGATTTTTGTAAAATTTCGTGAAACATTCTACGAATAATGAGGACCTAGGAATTTTAGGTTTCTATGGAGTTTACAGGAGTCACTTCTTTGTTGGAAATATCCGACATGATTCATGATTCATACTCCCATAAAAAGGTTGTTCTGTTCAAGTGGCTATAGGTTGATGGTACGAAACCACTCACAATCATTAATGTTGCTGTATTGTGTTGTAAGTAATAAAAATTTCGTGTCAATTACCTGCATTAAACGTTCCATATCCTGAGTGAGTTAATCTTCTTGACTGGAAACCGACTTGCTGACTCAACCGTATACACGAAGCGTAAAGCGCACTGATATTCCTTTAGCCCTCTGGCAAGAAAGTCTTCGAGGCTCTTATCGGAAGCTTCATTCACACAGTCTTCGCACTGTCGTAAAACAGAAAGCAACCTTCAAAAAGCTCGACTACATTTGGAATGTAGAAACGATCGAAGAGCCGCGGACACATTCATAAACAACATAGCTCTCCCTTCGTCTCGTATTTTTGCGACCTTTTATCAACGATAAGGATGGGTAATATTATGGCGCCGAGTAAAATTAAGTTAATATCACTTGTGTTTTGAGAAATTATGATTTTAATATATTCAAATTCATTTATTCATCCCTTCACGGGTTTATCACGAACCAACATAATAATCAGTTCCCTGTTAACTTGTTACCTCAGTTGGTAGAGCACCGCACCGGTATCGCAGAGGTCATGGGTTAAAATCTCGTACAGGCGCAATAATTTTCAGGCCTTGTTTTCACTACTGTTGAAGTAGTGTTCAGTACTGCGAACATCACTTTCATACTCATTTCTTAATCCGCAGTTCACATATGTGATTTTCATATATTCACCGTCACGTATCATAAACAGAGGATGTAACACGGTGGCGAGAAGATTTAAATATTATGTTTGAGCGGCAAGAACAATATCTTAGGAGCGAACGCGGTGAGAGAGTGAAATATTATTCGAGCCACGTGCATTTTTTATTATTTAGACAATAAATAAAATGGCAGAGATTGAAAAGCTGAGTTTGATACAAATACTGGCTATCAAAATAAAAAAAAATGGTCGGTGCCCAAATTATAAGAAGGTTTACATGTGACACTGTCAGTTAGGACAATACCAAGTATTCTCTCGTCCAAAATACATGTGAAATGGTTTTATAAGTTAAATGAAAATTCGATTACTGACTCTAATCAGGAGCCCATAGGCTCATGCCCCAACTTGAATCATAAGATACTTTTCTTTTCAGCCTCACTATCAACTTTGAAGGCTATTCAACACCAACTGAACAAAAATTCACCTTTGTCTCGTCGCAACTTTCGTGAACTGAATTCCTTGAAAATCTTAAGATCATACAGCGTTTCTTCCTAGTGTTCTCGTTCTTTCGCTGTTCGGAAAATGTATTTACATCTTCGTCGTTTTAATATTTCAAACAACAAACAATCCATATTCATTCAACAAAGTTAGAAAAGGCCGGAATTATGACATCTTTGCTAAATATCGCCACTCGTGTTACATACGAAAAATATGTCATTCGGTTCCCCGATGTAGTGGTCGTACTGATTCTACAGATGCTTTAGCTCTCCGTAAAAGACTCGCGTCAGTGTAGTAAATATCATCTGATACAGATTTGTTTTCGAAGAGTATTTCTTGTAACTTGAAGCCCAAAGACCTAATGTTATAACCAGCTGCTTGTCAGCTGCTTGAATTGTTGAATGGACACCCGGCCGATTAAATTTTGAACCAGTGCAAATTATTAGCAATCACCGACTCTACTCCTCATCATAAAATCTTTCAAACTGGTATTTTTTTTCAACCTTTCTAACTATATTTCGAGTCCTTTTTCATGAAATTAAATCATAGCGATAGTGATTTTGATATATCCAACCCTCTCGCTGATTTTCTCACACGTTAATCGTCCAGCTGTCCAGAACAAAAGAAACTATTGCAAACCATATGATTGGTGGATAAACTTATTGCCTGTAGGAAGTGATTTTTTTAATGAAAGAGAAAGAAAGATAATTTAGAAAAACAAATGTGCAATCAAGACGATGCTACGGTAAAATTGATATTACGCGGTTCGAAACATGAAGTTAGCATTTGCAAAGTAAAAACTGGAAAGTGAAATGAAGAAACATGTTAGGTGTTCTTCCGACACATTTCTTTTATTTTCGCAAGAAGTTATTATCGTTTACTTTATCTTGAATTCCAACCGGAGAGAAATAAAATCGGATGGGTACATGCCCTGCTAAGCCTTATAAAAACTTTTATCTTTTATGTTTTGACCGATAGAATTGCACCCTGTTGGGTATTACGGTCAAAGTTTTATACCAATGAAATACCTCTGTCGTTTTTCTCACAGCTATTTAACCTTTGCTTTCGAGTATCCAACACAAATTTAAATATAAGCAAAAGACAAGCAAACTTACTAAAACCAAATAGGAGGACACTGGATAATTTATTATGGTTAAATCATCTACCTACTCATTTGTTTATCACGGTTTTTGAACAATTACAATGTATCCAGGCGATTTTTCAAGATAAAAGTTTCCGAAAAATAAAAACTTAAAAAATCTGACCTCTTCATCAACTCAGTTTCACAAGTGTTCTGTAAAAACTCGCCAAATCAAAAGAACCTATGGCGCTGAATTACGTCTTTGAGAATAAGCTTTTGCTCTTTTTACACCAGCTCGTATCTCCACATTAGAAACGATTTTCAGATTGAGTGACGTTGACCTCATATTCTTGCTGCGAAGTAACCTTTTTCTACTGCCCTTATCGTCCAATAACTCGCTATTCCTCTTTACTAGCTTTTTTCTGGGTGTATGTTCAATTTGCACTGTGACAGTGAAAGGGATGGGTTGCAAGGCATTGTGTAGCTGTGCATCTTCTTGAAAAGATGGCAATGACATTCTTCTTTCCATCGGTGTGACTTGTGACACTCTCAGTCTTGTGTTTTCGCGTCTATATATCACTTCCGGACAAGAAACTGAGCGTCTTGAAGGTAGGGCATTTTTGTGTTCTGCGGGCTCTTCAACACCACGGTGCTGCGTGGCAGGACGTCCAATGTCAACTTCTGACTCGATTTTCTCCTTTGTTGAGAATGCAAACAGCTGAAGAGCAAATTTTCTATAACGTTTGTTTTTATGAAAATAGAGCACAGGATTTACGAGAGAGTTTATCTGAAGGAAGATCTCTGCCCACCGAAAAACCGTGTAACTACGAAAAAATGGTAAAAAGGGGGCCGTGATAAAGACAACCATTAAAGGCACGATAGAAATGAAAACAGTAATTGTCAGCAGGCACGCTGTGTGGGCAATTTTCCTTTCTATTCTGGCTTTGACCAGGAAACTCACCTGGCTTGTTTGACATCGCTTTTGTTTTCGCAGTTCTAAATATACTTTGCGATAAAAGTTCACCATTATTGATATTCCAGTTAGCCAACCAAGACCGAAAATGCCATCTAGGAAAAGTAGGACCTCATAATGGATACCAGCAACGACCAATGCAAAAAATAAGGCAATCGTCATAAACGCAATCACCCAAGCAATTCCTGCATATTTTTTTACGCGCGATTTTGTTATTATAATTTTATATTCAACCCTCTTTACTATCGCCAAATACCTCTCCCAAGAGATTATTACTAGATGATAAAATGAAGCACTCCAAGCAGTGTACAGCACCACCATAGCAACGAGGACTCTCGTGCAGATGACGTTTTCTGATGCATATCCTCGAAGAATCAGTGTATCTAAACTGATTGTCAGTGGCATACAAACTGCGCCAACCAAAAGACCTGCCGCGGCCAAACTTGCGATCAAAATGTTGGAGTTTGTTTGTAATTGTCTAACTTTTTTTATCGTTGCAATCACTACGATGTTTAAAAGGACAGTGAATGGACAAGCGACAGTTGCGACGACGACTGCAAGCTGAAGGGAAGTTTTTTGTGTCGAGTCCCAGATGGATTTCATCTGGGGTGAGCTGGAGCAAAAGATCTCTAATCTGGAGGAATTACCAAGCGGCCCTTTAGGGTAACTCAGATTCATTTTGATGAGCACGAAAGGCTAAGGGCCCTATAATCATAACCGTTTCGTAAACGATCGATGGCTGTTTGCAATCAGTCGCGTAAAGGGTTTCCTCTCTTGAGGCGACTTATTATCATGACAAAAACGTCTCATACGTGGGTAAATTTTTCAAAGAAAATGCTGCTTGTAAGGAAAAATTGCATTCACCTTTGCGGCTTATTCTTTAACATACTGAAAGACCAATAGGTCCGGTTATTTTCAAACCTTTCTTAGCGAAGATTTTTTTTAAAGAAAACCCCCAAAATTCAGAAGAGAAAAAGTAGCCACCGAGACGTTGATCTGTAAATTCCTCTAAGACTAATCCTCCGAAAATATTCAAGTAACAAACAATTCTGTCGGCAGCTTATAATTTAGACGACAGCTGACCACTTCAAATGTCTCGAGGATAGTGAATTACTTTCACTTAAATGTAATTTACGGCGTTAGATCTCAACCTCCATGGCAACGGATCAACTTTACACCTTCAAAGCTACATCTGATTGCTTGGAGAGTCGCTCACTGGGCGCCAACAAAAGAAGCATGTGTTTTAAACTTCTAAGTCTCGCTTAAGAGAAGGAGATGGAAATGTATTCAGCCAAACCCGGTCGTCGTCAAAATAATAACAAAACAGAGAAGAACACATGTAAAGATATTGACACAATACTGAGATCACTAGAAATCAGGATAAAAAAGGCAAAAATTTATCCAAAAGCATCAAATTCAGTAAACACATACTTTGATTACAATCGATGCAAGTTGGCATATTCGTTCGAAGAAAGTGCTGGGACTCAATGATTAACTGGGAGTTTCTCTGAATAAAAGAAAACTTATAACATAGCTAGTAAATTTGTCTAATCAAATTCAAGAGTGTGGGCGTGCTTCATATTCCTATTGCGCACGCTCGTGACGTCAGCAAACAAATCCCTCGAGAAAAAAATTTCTCCGCGATTTTTTACTTTGGGATTTTACTATTAAAAAACTGGTTAAGACTTCGGCGGCAATTTAAGCTAAACATGGAAATTTTTGAGCCAGCTGATGAGGAAGAACTGTTTACTTTTTCTTTGGGAATGGAGTTTTTAACTCCCCAAAAAGAACGAAAAAGAAAAAGAAAACAAAGAACGAGCACGGCCGGTGTTATCCCGTTTCGCAAACCATCGGGTTGAAAATGTTATAAAACAATTGGTTCATACGTCAGCGTGCGTTCATCGAGATATGATACTCAAGAAGCTAGAGTTGCTCGAGGCTATGCTTCGAACAACTCTTACGCATCTTTCGTGCTCTCCAAACTTTCCGCGTGCTTCATATCTCGATGAACGCACGCTGACGTATGAACCAATTGTTAATTGTTTAATCTCAACTTCCATGGCAGCGAATCAACTTACAATTACAGAGGCACATCAGATTGCTTAGATAGTCGCTTATTGAGCGCAAACGAAAGAAGCTTGTGTTTCAAGCTACTGAGTCTCACATAAAAAAAACGGAGATGCGAAATGTATTCAGCCGAACCCAGTCCCCGTCAAACAGAATGAAAAAAAAGAAGGAAAGAACAAATGCAAAGCAGAAGTAGTTCATTTAGAATGAGATAAAATTCAAGGGCTAGCTGCGCGAAAGGTGTTCAGTGCTAATTTAGTCTGAAATTCAAAGTTCCATCCGAGCTGGACTGTAAAGGCTACGACACTGAGTTAAAACTTTACTTCCGGTAATCTTGAAGCCTGAATGTCTGAAGCAGGTACCTGTAAAAACACTATTACACAAAGGTTCCTCTATCTCATGTCCATCAATGTAGCTACTCTTTCTCATAACTGTTATTTTGTTTTACACATTCTTTTTGACAAAGCCACCATAATAGGTAAATATTATTTTGACTACTACTACTGCTGCTAGTTACTGTGCAATTGTGTGAGTTTGGGTAGAAAGTGATGGAGGGAAGGAAGCCTTCACCCAATAAATCATACTTTACACCCACAGGCCTCTAGCATGCAGTGCAGGCGTCTTACATGGGCAAGTTACGGTTAAGAAGCTCGAAATCATTTATTCAACCGGCCATGTTTGATTTGGAGATGGAGGCGGTTCGGGGATGTGGAAGAAAAAACGCCCGCCCGAAAAGGCTGTTGTAAAGCAAAACACCCCCTGGTAAGTTGCGCGTCACTGCATTCCGGAAATTAGCAGGTTACCAATCAAAATGAGTTGCATCAAAAACCGGAAGCGCTTTCTTCCTACAAAAATAATCACACGTAGAGCCAATGAATGAAACGCTGAAGCAGTTGTTTCAGCCAGAAATGAAATGGCTTCGAAAAAATGTTCTCAGCGGTCACAAATATGAGCTGATATTTGCAGCATCCCATATTTTCTAAGCGACAATTCTTGAGTTTAGCTGTCTTTTTATCTATTTGACGATTTTTGTTTTGCATTTGATCGTAAACAAGACTTTGTAGCAGACTGTTAAGTGTAGGCTCTTTATTAAAAAGAAATTGCCATAATCACAGACATGTGCCATGTGTGACTAGATGAGTCATTTAACATCTAATGATAAAGAAGATTATACGTAATTGATACGATTATGTGACACAGACAAACAGCTGCACTCGAAGGTTTGTTTGATGCAAACCGGCGTATTCTGGTGAAATGGTGTGGCTGTTTTTTATTTATTAACGAGAGAAATGGCTTCCCCAAAACCGCCTCTGCTGATGCACATACACACATCTTATTAGACGTTTTGGCGTGTAGTATTGCTGAGTATTTTTAAGAGTTGTGCAGTAAAAATACTCAGATATACTACACACCAAAACGTCTAATAAGTTATTTATTATCCAACTGCTTTTTCTCTGCTGTCTTTCTGCTCATTTCTCATAAGGCAGGAAAAGCAAAGCGGTTAGAGAAGCGTAGCGCGCGCAGCCGACTGCCTAAACAGGTTTTACAATGCCTGATCAGTTTAGATTGTATCCAACTACTCGTATCATTCTTGATTGCACTGAGCTTTATGTTGAAGTTCCATCTTCAATGCTTGCACAGTCACAGACATGGTCCAACTACAAGCATCATAACACTTTCAAAGTATTAGTAGGAATATCACCAAATGGTCAAGTGACATTTGTGTCAAAGCTATGGGGTGGCCGTGTTTCTGACAAGGAAATCACACAACAATCAGGAGTGATGCACTTATTAGAACCTGGGGACAATGTAATGGCTGACAGAGGATTTGATATTGGTGGTATTTTGCCACCAGGCTGTCACCTGAATATCCCACCTTTTAGGGCATCAGAGACCAGCTGACAGCTGATGAAGTCCAGGAAACAGCCCGCATTGCATCAGTGAGGATACATGTTGAACGCATAAAGAACTATCATATTCTAGAAGGTACTTTACCTTTGAGTTTAGCACACGAAGCCGATCAAATATTTTTTGTATGTGCTTATCTTACTAACTTTTTAACTCCTCTTCTTGAGCCTCAAATGTGAAGTTGATTTACATCTACTGTCAAAAATATACAATATATGCTTATGCAAATGATTAATTGAATTAAATGATGTCATCAATGACAACTGAATACTGAAATAATAAACATGTGAGGCAATAACATTTACAATGATACTGTTACTACTACTTTGCAGTTAATAATATTCCAATTTGAAGTTGTGTTAACTAACTCCAGCATAAAAGAAATAGTTTTTAAATTCTCTTGGTTAATGCAATATTGTAGTTGTGTACATTTTACATACCATGAACTGTGATAAAGAATATATTACATAATACTGAGGCTGAAGTTGCTGTCAATGGAACTGTAAAATGGAATGTCCCCTGATTATGAAAATCCATCTGTCCAATAATAGTTTGAAAGGTTATATCACAAGCATGTCTGATACACTCCAATAACTTAATATTCTAACACAACAGTAGAATTGATTCAAGAAGTAAACTCAAACAAAAGCATGCTAAGCTATTAATATTTTACTTTTACTCTCAGTTTTTATGGTAGAGGCACTTGAACTTGCCATTAAGCAAAAACTACAAAGTACAAACTAATAACAAACCTATGCCACTTGTGGATTCTTGGTATATGGCTTTGACATAACTTATGATCTATGTCTATTCCTTTTTGTTGCATACAAAATGTCTGTCCTGGTGCAGGGAAAGTATCTAGGAACCCACAGTACCTATTCATTCTTAGTTAATATAAAATGAAGAAGACTAAGAACTTCTTGTGGTGTAAGGCTGCCACCCTCCATGGTTATAAAGACGGACCCCTCTTTTAACCCTTCTTGTAGGGTAAAAATGCCCGACGATAGAAGTAATCCAGCTTTGGTAGAGCTTCCTTGTGCCACCACTGTTTGTCAAATACTATCCTTTGTATGCAGAAAATAACGAACTGTCATTATCTTCATGCATGTGACCATACTGTAAAAATAACCGCACAATATCTCAGGATATTTGTAAGAAAAAGAGAGCTACTTGGTAAGTGCTGGCTAAGTTTCACAAGCATAGAGTTTAATTTTGCTTTATTGAGCACTCTATCACATGGGGCTCTTGGATCATACACACTTGATTTAACAGAAGTTCTGTTGTCCTTTCCATATCTGTACTTCACAATGTTGATGTCATCAACAGGTTTTGCAGCCACTTTACTATTTCTTGGCACATTCCATGCACACAGCCTTGAAGTACATGTAACTGGTTCACTGCGATTTTGTAGTCCCTGTCTGTTGAAGTCTTCGATGGCAAAGAGAATACCACCAACATGGTTGCATTGGCCATGGCCACCAGAACCTAACCTGTCAAAAATACATTTATAATAAAAATAATGAAGTGGTATTTGAGACAAGACATGAAATTACAGGTTGGATAAAATAATATAAACATGCTAAAAGACCTTTATATTCATTGAATTACATTGATTCAATATTTTACCGTCTACAATCGGATTCACACATTCATACATCACTGTATGGAAAGAGGTTTGCATAGTTTTGCACTAGTATTTCTACTCGTAAACATGTACAGTAGGTATAAACAATTCATAAAATAAGCAACTGAAAATATATCATATAATCTTACCCTGCAGGGCACTTACAAGCAGCCCTCAGTACTTCGCCTTTGTTTGAAAATACTATTGCGACTGAGTATTTTGTTTGCTTCATAGAAGCCAAAACTTCTCCTTTGATGTAGACAAGTCCTCCAACTTCTGCAAGCTCCAAATCTTTGATATGACCTTCGGCAAAAAACTGGAAAGCTTTCAATTTCTTATAGCCACTAGTCTTCAGAGCGATGTGATCATACTTGTTTGTTTGTATGACCAAGTAGTCGTATAGACGGACAAAGTCAAACGCTGGCAAATTTCTCAAGTCCTTCTGCCACAGATTGTTCCTTTGACATCTCTAATTAGAGTATCATAGCTTAAGTCATTGTCTTTGCTCTTGTGTGGAGCAGATAGTTCTAAAACTGCTTCTTCTGCTGTCTTTGAAGTCGATGGAGTGTCACATGTGCTCGACGCCAAGACGCCACAAATTCTTTCTACCAGATCGCTCTTTTTCCCGCCAACTTTTTGACCAGACTGTTTCAGCATTTCCTTCAGCTCATATAAAGTTTTCTTTTGAAGTTCCTGTCGATTAATATTGTGAAGTGTTCGTTGAATTTTTGCGGTCTTCTGCCATTACGAACTTGGCAACATTAGCCGATTGGATAATCAATTCCATGTTTGGTGCGATTTGCAGCCGCGATTCTAAATAACTCCTGGACTATTATATCCCCAGTTGGATAAAAGACAATCAATTTGCCGCGCTCTATATCCCCCCAAAGACAATCAAGTTGAGGTCGTGAAAAAAAGTTGAAGTCGTGAAAAAAATGTTGAAGTTGTAGAAACAAGTTGAAGTCGTGCTGGAAAGTTAAAGTCGTGAAAAAAAGGTTGATGAGAAATACGAGATGGTACTAACTGGGCTCCGTAATTTGGTTATGTTTTGGTAGATCAAGACACATATCAATGCTGGTGCAATTGTATTCTAAAAAGGGTCTAAATTAACTGTTTTACCAAATAATCTGGATGAGTCATAGCTGATTTCTGCGAATATCAATCAAAACCACACCCATTTTTATTTCATGGATTTGACGATTATTTTTTTATGGTTAATTGATTAACTAGCCTGGTATAATAAGAGATTTTAAGTCACTGCCTCCAAATTTGATTACCATTGCTCCACCAATTTCATTTTGAGTCCATTAAGTTTAGAACAGGCGATGGACATTTACATGCGGAGGTAATTTACCAGTCTGTCCCAGACCCTTCATTTTCACTTAGATCGTTGAGTCTGAGAGCAAAGTGTGAGAAGAAACTGGGCCTCCTGTGTTTGACCAATATTCTAACCAAAGGGGATGGCGGTATTCAGAGAGTAATTTATAGCTAAAAACAACAAATTTTGGACTACTATGTGATGTATTTTCAACTTTACTACGTAACGTACTACTAAATGTACCATATAACTCGCTACACTGTTCCAATAGGTTGGGCAAGAGTACTGCCCTTTTATCCCACCAGTGGAAAAATTTGCACCGTCAAAATTTCAGAGGCTAAGCCATAAATGTGCTAAAAAGATAAAAAGCCTTCTTGTGTTAGTGGGTATCCTTGGTGTGGAAGACACTTAGTTACCCATAAATTACTCATTGGCCATCGATTACGAAGTTAAGTCAGGAATATGGGATTGTTGTTAAGAAAGTGTTTTTCGTGGTATACTAAAAAGGATTTCTATTTTGGTTATATTCATATAAAAATACATGTTTTTATTTTTATTCTTTAAGTGCAGAGAAAAATACTTTAATTTGAGACATTACTGGACAAGTGAACAGGCACGTCGCTTTTCAAGTCTGGAGGAAGGAAAGGGAAATACAGCTGATAAAGATGAAGAATGAACAGGGGAAGGCAAGGATGGACATTTGACAGAAGACAACCCTGAAGAATCCAGTGAGCAAAATGAAGATGAGAGTGTCGTGGGCTGTCGCCAAAAGAAAGAATGCCCGATGCCCACGTGCAATAAAGAAGTTGTCCATCATCTAAGGCACCTCCGAAATGTTCATGGCTGGAGCAGTGAGAATGCAAGGGCAGCGACCTTCCGATTCAAACTTCGCTAGAAGTATACTTTCACTGACGAGGAAATGGCATCTGCCGGAAATAGAAAGATCAGAAAGGCACGCCCTGTAAGTGAGACCAACAAGAAGAAACCCAATCGAAAGAGATAATTGTGTCCTGTTCAAGGTTGTCGAATTATAACAGATAGACTGCCGCAACATTTAAGAAGGAAACATAAATTGAACCAGAATGACGCCGAACACAGAAACCTTATCTCTTTTGCAAAGACTATGTCTAGTTCAAAGCCTCACGTATTTCTTCGAATGAAAGAAGAAGAAAGAAGAAAGAATAAAGAACTGCGATGAAAGTCAAGTAAGTTCCATGTCACAAGAGGAAGACTTCGGGATCGGTACTGATAATCTTGAGGATGTAGATCCAGTCCAATTTAAAGTAGACAAGTCAGCCAATTGCAAAGCCAATACTGCAACCTATGTTGAAGGGTTCGAGTCTGACGGTAGCTCAGACAGTGAAGACACAGGAACTAAAACTCTGGCTTCCGAGATATTAAACCGGTTTCAAAAGTGGCTTGAATCGTTGCTGGATGCCATAAAGATAAGAGACGTTTTTCTTGGTGAACGTACTGATGAGAAGTATTCCCCAGCCACAATAAAGCCATAACTTACGAGTCTGCAGCATTATTGTTCCTACTTGCTAGGAGACCGACCAAGTGACGTTATATTCAACACCGAAGATGTGATCGGCTTACGTGAAAAACTGCGAAGGTGGTCTTATTCATATACTAAAGAAACAATGCGACGAAGATGGGAGAAACATGAAGAAGATGTCAGCGTTCTGATAACTCCAGAGAAGATAAAGGACTGTGACGCAAGCCAGGCCTCGCGTGATGCAGTCATCATCTTAGGCGAACTTGGCGGTAATACAGTAGTTGAAATGAATCAATCGATGAATCGTGCCGGAGTGGTTTCCTCTATGACCGTAGAAGAGTTTCAGAGGGCTAGAGTTGAACGCGAAAGATATGTTTTTCGAGTTCTTAAACACAAAACTATGGACACCCATGGTCCAGCTCAGGTGGTACCAACAAAGCTCTTGTACAGCTACATCAATGTTTTCATAAAGCAAATGAGACCTAGACTTCCTGCTGCACTGTCCGATGGGAAACAGGCGTTGCTTTTGTCATGGTTTGGAAATCAAATAGAGTCAAATCAAATGACCAAGGATCTTAGCTCCATTTTCAAGAAAGCCGGCATCAAGGGACCAGTGCACCACACTCTCTACCGAAAAAGCGCTGTATCTCAATGTCATGCCCGCCATAAGGAAATTTCCAGCAACCTGGCTGATCTAATGGCGCATCGAGAAGGCACCGCCGAGAAGTACTATAAACTTTTCGAAAAGAACAAGTCATCTGTGAAGGCATCTAAAAAGCTTCATGGCGTTATGAGAAACTGTGAGGAAAACGATAAAGAGCTGAGTACAAGAAAGGCAGTAAATGGGTCCAGTGAAAGTGAACTCGTTACAGCTGACTCCCCGGGTACAGAACGAGCTCCCTGTAAAGAAGATGTCCTTACAAGCGCTGCTAAATCTATTTGCAGAAGAAATATCGTTGCAAAGTGTCACCATGTCTTTAGTTCGAGAAAAAAATCCAGTCTGACCCGATATTGTGCACAGAAAGTCCAAAAAGAGTATACGACAGGACCCGTGGGGAATGGCATTACAAATCCCAAATTAATGCAATTTATTTTTTGAGAATAACAATGATTTGCTGCTCTTACAAGTAAAACCGTTTAGAAAAGGCCGCCATTTTGTTGTATGTGCGTGTGGTAAACGAAGCGTAACATTTTGCCTCGTAAGGTTGCGGAATGCAATATTGAGCAGTCCTTTTATGGCGATTAAATCTGCAGACAATAGTTCGGCCTTCTTGCATGGGTTAAGGAAGCCTTTGCTTTTAACAATAAATTTATATCATGCAATGTAGTGTCGTGGAATATCTGACAACGTTCATACATTCATCCATTTCTGATGAGACGTGTACGATGCAGTTCCTTTCCTCTGAAGTATATGTTTAGGAAAGTGTTTCACTTGTTATTTGTAGTAAAAACACACTTTTCAGAAACATAACAGAACATCTAGCTCCCCCCCTCTCTCCCCCTCTCCCTCTCTCTCCCCCTCTCTCTTAAGGTAAAGTAAGTTTATTTTGGTTTCTAATTACTCAGACAATGGACCACGAAATAAATACGTGTGAGTTTATTTCAGACAAACGGGAACGTTTTTTTTCTGTGTTTTAACTAAACTAATGCGTTATTTTCGTTCTTTTTGAGGTTAAGGTTCTTTTTCTTTGACAAAAATGAAAACATCAGTTACACAGTGTCCCTCCTCAACTCACCCAGCCGAAAAAATAACTCTTGCAAGCATTGCATGCCTATGATTTTCCTTTTTGTCCAGTCCACTGTTTTCTTCTTTTAACTTTGTTTGTTGCAATTATATTGAGAACTGTTTTTTTTTTTCACTGCCCTGTTTGGTAGTTTTGTTTGAGGGTGTGAATGGGGTTAACCGACTAGCGACAAAGGGCGTAAAAAATTACTGACTACCGACGAAACGGGGAAAAAATTACCGACTAGCGACAAATAAATTCTAACCGACAACCGACATGGTCAGACGTGATAGGGATGTTTGTATTCAGAAAGAACAGCATTTTGATGATTTCTAGCTCAGAAAATCCTTCTTCACTTGACGTAACCACATTAATTCCAAATTTAGCCGAATTATAGAATTTCTTGTCTTCAAATTACTTTAAATCCACGGGATCCTTCTTTTCGGTGAGCAGCGTGGGCTCATTTCTAGAACAGCGGCTCGTAATTGGGCTGACAAGACGCCCTGCTGTCTCATTTCAAGAACAGCAGATCACAGTCGAGCCGACGAGACGCCCTGCTGTTGTCTTTTTATTGCTCGTTGTTTGTTCATGCGGTCGGGTCATGACTGGGATTGCTAAAGTCATCGTGAGTTTTTTTCGAAAAGGTGAAGAAGTCGCCATCGAACGTCATCGAAGCAGGGTCCCAGTAGACAAAGAAGCTCATACAGGAGTATCTGAACTAAAAAAACATCTTACGGAGTTTTTAGGACTAAAGGAGCAGGCACATCAATATGGAATTGGCGGATTTTCGTTAAAGTTATTTCGCCTGGCGAAATCGCCTGCGGGCAAATGCGAAAATTTTGCAATTGTGACAGATGGGCAATGGCAGCTTGAACTTCCAAATTTAGTATCGGATGAAAGTAGCAGTGAGCTCAACGGTAAGTGTGGAACGCGTGCAGCGGAGTTTGATGAATCACTTTAGTTCTGTAGTTAAATATTAAGCTCAAATATTAACGTGGTTAAACTCTGGTTCCACCGTTTTTTGTTTGTTGTTTTGTGGAGCGGAATGTTTTTTTTTCTTTTTCACCGTCCAAATTGAGAAGAAAAATCTCTACAAAGAAGTAGCGAGTAAATCAGTTTATAAGCTTCTTTCTGATTAATTGGTGAATGAACAACAGTGTAGCTTAACATATTAAAGACCCCGTTTATTTATACACGCCCTTAAATTTATTCGTTTCTGAAAACCAGACGTTCAAATAATATTCAATTCTCTCCTCGAGGGAAGCTACGCACAAGAGATTTCGCTCGATGTGCACGTTTTATAAATCTTGACGAGCATTTTCTGATAAGAACTGTGTAAGTTTCTCAAAAGCCTACTAAAGAGAAAACTTAAAACACACGGTATTTAATAATTTAGTACACATTATCCAAGAGGTCACAAACTGGACCGGAAAGCCAGTAGTGTTGCTGAAGGCGCCGGCTACATCTGATAAAAGCAAGCAGAAGTCAATGAACGACACTGAGAAGAAAGGTGACGAGTAAAAAGTGATAAGGAAACGGAAATCACGAGAAGAAGCAAAAGAAGATGAAAATCTGGCAAAGAGGATCATGACTGAAGGAGGTGACATCGAGAGAAACGAAAGGCAACAAGCAGACCTTCAAAAGTTTCAGGATGGTAGGGCTGAATTAGCACTTGTAGTTCGTTTACCTGATTTTCAAGAGTCATAAATTTCGCTACTTTGGAAATTCTGCGGTATTCCTTGTTTATAAACACTGCCTTGTTTATACAACGAAAAACGCTCACTTGGTGCGTTCGCTATGTAAAGATAGTTTCTTTTAAATTCCGGCTAAAAACTGTATTATTATCACTTTGATGGGCATTGTGGCGCATTTTGCGTGCTAAAATAAAGAATTTGCCAGGCTAAAATGTATTTTTAAAAATAAACCAAGACAACCAATGTTCGCGCCGTCTTTTGTAGCAGTATTTACATACAAAAGAAACATTCTTTATTTGATAAGTAGGTTGTGTTTTTGGACCTACTATTAAATATTAGGAATTACATATATATAAAAATTGACAACCGATACAAATAAAAGGTGTTCACTAAGACTAACATATAAAATTTTAACCGACAACCGACAAAGGTCAAAAATCTTAACCGACAACCGACAAAGTAATGAAATTTTAACCGACAACCGACATTTTGACCCCCCCATTCAGACCCTCTTGTTTAGTTGTGTCTTGTGCATGGCTCGTTCTCTCCTCCGATTAAATATTTCGTTCAAATCTTGCACAATGCTTTTCTCGTCTTTGTTTGATTTCTTAGCTAAATATCTACATCACTCTTTGTTTGAACTAAAATTTCTTTCCTTTATTTAAGTCTAGCCCTCTGTTTCTTTCCTTAATTCTGGCTTATTTTCACGTTCATATCTTACGAACTGTTTGCACTCTTCTGTTTGACGTTAGTATCTCGCCCAATGTTTTCTCCTAATTTTATCTTAGTAATTCGCTCACTGTTTGTCTTCTTCTCTATTTGTTAATCCTTTTCTTTTAGTATATTGTACTCTGTTTGTTCTCTTCTCCACTTAACTTTTAGATTAATATTTAGCGCCCTGTTCACAACACTGTTTGATTTTTGCGGTAATTCTCAAGCATTTTTCTCTTCTCTGTCTGATTTTTACATAATTGCCTTCTCTTTTTTTTTTAGATTGTGTCTTCAGTACTTCGGCACTTTTTGTTCCCTCTTCTGTTAGTTTGTTATGTTATCATCTCCTGCACCTGTGAACAGTCTTAATCACTCTTTAATGATCACGTGTGCGTCCAACGGGAGAATTGAAAACAGAATTATAATGATTTAAATCAAGGATTAATTTTGAGTTTTGACGAAACTTTGCCACATTCTCACATTTTTATACATTAAGCTGATTTCTTGCGTTCAGTTTTCCCATCCCAATTTACTGTAGTTTCTTATTGATAGTATACTTAATAGATTAAACGACTTAATTGCAGGTTTTATCGTCGCTGCCTTTCGATTACGCCTTGCTTACAAAAGCACGCGAAATCAACTACTTGACAGTGTCCACTGAACGACAGTGTACAGGAATAAGAATCTTTGGGTAGGATCAGTAGTCGCTGTGTTTCTTCTTCACCTCGTTGTTGTCCTCCTCGAGTTCCTCTTTCCTGAAAAAAAAAAAAAAAACATTATAAATTTGTCACTATTTCACCTTTAAAGTAGACGGAACAGATTTCCAATTAAAGAAATTACTTTCTTCTTCAATTCCAGTAGGTATAATTGTCCAAACTTGTCGAACATACCTTGCTTGATGCGAAAGTGACTTTGAGATTGTCAATTTATTGTTATTTTTGTTGATTTTTCACAGATAAAGTTAACTTTTTCAGCTTCTCAAGTTACCTTCATCGTCATAACGTGTAGTATCGCATCGAATTTGACTTATTATTTCCGAGTATATTGCATACTAAAGAAACACTAATTCAAAGCCAATTTTAGAAAGCCTTCTGTGAAAAAATTCTGGCTCCAAGCGCTAGACAAAATCAAGTTCTTTTTCGAGGCATTTTATGGATGAAAAACAAAGACAAAAACAAACAAAAAAAATTACGACCACCGAGTGAACTGAATAAGTTAAGTGTGCTAATCGGTTTATCGTAGAAAATTGCTCATTCTAATCAGACTTACCCTTTTTTCATAAAATCAAATGTCACGTTATCCCCCATCAACACAAACGGAGCCCATTGAAAAGGTTTGGAGAATCTATTGCTTCTCAACCATTGAACGGCCTGGTGAAGAGATTCACTTGCACTTTCTCCATGCACAAGGTGTTTATAGAAATGTTTCATGAGCTTCGCCGTTGCTTTGTCTTCTATAGCCCACGATGCTACCAACACTGAACGTGCACCAGATGCTAAGAATGCTCGAGCGATTCCAATAACTCCTTCTTTTTTAACCAATCCACGCCCACTGTGACAACAGCTGAGTACTACCAGTTTAGCTCGCACTTGAACTCCTTCAATGTCGGACATTGTCAGGAGGTAGTCTTCCTCTTGTGGAGTACTGTTAGTAGTACATTGAGGAGAGAGGGCAATCTCTCCTCTTTCGACATCTCCATGTGCGGCAACATGTATCAGACTCACTGAAGGTATTGCTTGAAGAACCGCCTGCTTTGTTGCGCGACTTCCCAATAAAGGCTGAACGCCCAGCAGTTGACCAACCATTTCTGCTTCCTTACTTGCACAGAACAATGGTGTAATGTCAGTGAGACGTCCATTGTATTGCACTTTGCCAACCGTAGGATCACCCACAACCAGTCCGCCAGTTTGACTGTGATAGTCTGCTGGACATTCTTGAATAAGCCGGAGAGTTGTCAATGAAGGGACGATGCGTATTCTGTACTTCTCCGATAAATACTTTCCGGCTTGTTCATCGCGCAAGGCAGCAAATGGGACTCGGTACGAAAAACGATCCGGTACAATAATGATTTCGGGCTCTGTGAGTAAATCTACCACAGGTGCGACGATCCATTCGTAGCACAAATGATGACTTCTTCCGGTATCTTTGGTTTCGTCACCTCGCAAATTTGTTTGGCTCTCTTCATGAAGAGATGTCGTCATGTTGTCACCCAGCGATCGGTCTTCGCAGTTCGCTGTGGGTAAAACACCAAAGCATTTGGCGCTCTTTTTGAAAACTCCTTCCACTTCGCAAACTTGTTCAGCAATAAGAGTGTCTATTTTCACTTCGTCTGTTTTTCGAAAGAAAATGTCTCCATTTGCTTTCAATACCCAGAGCAGAACATGCCGATCTTCATACGAAATGTACAAAAAAACACTGTTACTTTCTCTTCTCGCGATGTTTTCAATCCCGAACCGTGGATCAGCTGAGATGTGGCTTTCAGCGGAGTACTTGTCTGCCATGAGTTCTGCGAGGACTCTTGCTCGTCCCAGCTCCTCAGCATAGAGAGCATCTCGAAATTTTCCGGCACTACAAAGGAGGTAAGTGAGTAACTTGTAGGGAAAAGTACCGTGTGTCTCTGATAGAGAAATTTTAAATTCACTGTTTCCTTTCTGAAGAGTTCTGATTGTTTCATATTTTTCAATACCTTGAAGAAGATATTTCATTGCCTCCACAACCTCGAACTGCGATATCTTTAAAACTGTAATACCGAGAAGGCTTTTAAACTCAGTCATTTTGTGTCCAATTTGGCTACTTAACGAACAAGCTTTCTGTAAATAATATGCTGCCTTATCATATTCACTAAACGATCGGAATAGACCACCAACAGATAGGTATAGTTGTGCTTCGCATTCTCTATTGCTGCATTCTCTGCTGATTGTAAACGCCTTCTCACAATGTTCTTTTGCCTTCTGAATGTCATTTACAGAAGCAGAGACATGTGCCAAACCTAGAATAGCCAAGACTTCCAGTTCTCTGCAACCGATTGCAATACTGACGCCGACTGCTTTGTCCAAATATTCTTTAGCTTGCCGATTTTTATTAAGATTACTGTACACCATTCCAAGATTGGAGTATGTTAAACCTTCTCGTCGTCTGTCGCCAATTTCTATAGCGAAGGCAAGTGCTTTCTCGTGATATTCTTTAGCATTCTGATATTCGCCAAGGGAATAAAACACACATCCGAGGTTCCCGTATCTTGTTCCTTCTCCTGCTCTGTCGCCAATTTCTATCGCGATGGCAAGTGCTTTCTCGTGATATTCTTTAGCATTCTGATATTCGCCAAGGGAATCAAACACACTTCCGAGGTTCCCGTATGTTGTTCCTTCTCCTGCTCTGTCGCCAATTTCTATCGCGATGGCAAGTGCTTTCTCGTGATATTCTTTAGCATTCTGATATTCGCCAAGGGAATAAAACACACTTCCGAGGTTCCCGTATGTTGTTCCTTCTCCTGCTCTGTTGCCAATTTCTATCGCGATGGCAAGTGCTTTCTCCTGATATTCTTTAGCATTCTGATATTCGCCAAGGGAATAAAACACACTTCCGAGGTTCCCGTATGTTGTTCCTTCTCCTGCTCTGTCGCCAATTTCTATCGCGATGGCAAGTGCTTTCTCGTGATATTCTTTAGCATTCTGATATTCGCCAAGGGAATAAAACACATTTCCGAGGTTCCCGTATCTTGTTCCTTCTCCTGCTCTGTCGCCAATTTCTATCGCGATGGCAAGTGCTTTCTCGTGATATTCTTTAGCATTCTGATTTTTGCCAAGGGAATCAAACACCCTTCCGAGGTTCCCGTATGTTGTTCCTTCTCCTGCTCTGTCGCCAATTTCTATCGCGATGGCAAGTGCTTTCTCGTGATATTCTTTAGCATTCTGATATTTGCCAAGGGAATCAAACACCCTTCCGAGGTTCCCGTATGTTGTTCCTTCTCCTGCTCTGTCGCCAATTTCTATCGCGATGGCAAGTGCTTTCTCGTGATATTCTTTAGCATTCTGATATTCGCCAAGGTAATTAAATACATTTCCGAGGTTCCCGTATGTTGTTCCTTCTCCTGCTCTGTCGCCAATTTCTATCGCGATGGCAAGTGCTTTCTCGTGATATTCTTTAGCATTCTGATATTCGCCAAGGGAATCAAACACAATTCCGAGGTTCCCGTATGTTCTTCCTTCTCCTGCTCTGTCGCCAATTTCTATCGCGATGGCAAGTGCTTTCTCGTGATATTCTTTAGCATTCTGATATTCGCCAAGGGAATAAAACACATTTCCGAGGTTCCCGTATGTTGTTCCTTCTCCTGCTCTGTCGCCAATTTCTATCACGATGGCAAGTGCTTTCTCGTGATATTCTTTAGCATTCTGATATTCGCCAAGGCAATGAAACATATTTCCGAGGTTCCCGTATCTTGTTCCTTCTCCTGCTCTGTCGCCAATTTCTATCGCGATGGCAAGTGCTTTCTCGTGATATTCTTTAGCATTCTGATATTCGCCAAGGGAATAAAATACATTTCCGAGGTTCCCGTATGTTGTTCCTTCTCCTGCTCTGTCGCCAATTTCTATCACGATGGCAAGTGCTTCCTCGTTATATTCTTTAGCCTTCTGATATTCTCCTAGGCTAGTACAGACAGTTCCGAGTCTTCTGTCAGCCACTGCTACTTTTCTTTTGTGACCAATTGTTTTCACGATGGTGAGTGCGCATTGAAGGAGTTGCTTTGCCCTTACAAACCGGCTTTGTGCTATATTTATGTCTCCCAGTTCGATGATTAGTCTCCAGGCATGGTTAAATGTGTCAAGAAGTTTGGTGGCATGTCTTTCTGCATCTGTGTAACCAGAGATGGCGTAGTACGCATTGAATAGTACATCGGAGATATCAAGGTGACTACCAGAGTTAAGGTTTTGAAGTAGAATTAAACATTCATTACATAACTCAGTCGCTCGTAGGCCACGATCAGTGTTCAGAAGAAATATGACGACATTTAAACCTATCTGGAGTGATTTTAGGATTTCTGCAGCGTCACTCACAACGGCTCTCTCCTGTTTGTTGTCGTAAGAAAGAATCAACAAAAAAAGGAAGCTTAAAAAAAAGTAACACTGATAAATGTTCGAGTTTCTAAACATGACGCGGGAATTTTCCTAAAAGTTCGTTACGTGAAACACGATCAGGATCCTCACTCTGCTGCCCTTAAAAAAACCAGGGACTAACTCAGCTCTGATTTCCGTTGTTATTCGTTTCAAAATCGAGGCAAATCAATATATCTTGAATCGATTCGGAGATATCCATCTACGTGACGCACAAACGGCCCCAAGCTCTAGCTGTGAGATCATCTTCTTGCACAATAACAGACGGAACTTTAAGAGTTTGTATGGGAATATTTACGACCGCTCTAAGGAATAAAAAATTACGCCAAATTCTCAATAAAAATACCTCAACTTACTTCCACAGTGTACCACTTGTTATCTGACCGCTTACTCTGATGAAAAGAAACCATTTTAGTGAGTTGTCCATTTCGAGGTGTTATACGTACATAGGAAAAACCTCGAAATGGACAACTCGTTAAAATGGGTTCTTTTCATCAGAGAAAGCGGTCTAATAATTACTGGGATACCTGTGGTAGCCCAGTCATAAAATGCCTTTGTTTTTTTGTCGTCTTTTTTTTTTCCTCCGCCACAAAATGAAAAAATTGCGCAATAGTACCCAGAGGTCATTGGGCCCTCAACACCATGACAACTAACTGTGATCTAACTAGACCCTGTGAGCAGGGTAACTGGGATACCTGGATGGTACTGGATCCGTGGAATCAAGTGTAGTGATACTACGCGTGTCGGACTAGTATACTGAAATAGTGAGCTCAAGTCTGGCCAAGGGCATACACCTGTCTCAAAACATAGGCATGCTAGTTATTTTTTGTAGGGTGGGTGGATTACTTCGGAAACATTGTAAGTGGTCTACATTCTTACAAAAGGAAAGAAGATTATTAACGCGGGAAAGAATGAAAATGTCGAATTACCTCACACACAGGTATTTTTTGGTAGATTATGTGTGTTGTGCGAATAAATGTAACCAAAAATAAACTGTATTGGTGCCAAGGATACCTGTTAGTACAAAATGTAGACAGCAGACTGCAGACCGGATACAAAATATAGACTGCAGAGTGGGTACAAAATGCAGACTGAGAATCTGAAGAGTTTTTACGTCTGGTATATAATAACATGTCATCTTCCAGCTTACCGAGCGTCACGCAATCGCTTTTCCGCGATCAGCCTTCACGATTATTTGCACTATTGTGGAAAATTCCTGACCCATTTCTTGATGAAAATCGATCGTAATATAATTTCAAGCCTTCAACATAGTTGGTTGGTGTGATGTCTGTACAGATTTTACCAATGTAATAAAAGTAGATGACGTGAATAATAGTGATGGTAAAGCAAGCTTAAAACGACAACAATCGCCAGAAACTACAACGGATACACAGGGTATGATTAAGTTTTATTGATTTTACGAGAAAAATCTTCATATTTCGAAATATTTATCGTTGTAAATCGACCATATTTCGTTCCCTATACTATTCCTTATAACGTGTTCAAATTTTCAACGGTTCCTAGCATAACTTACTCTGAGTCACACAATCGAAAAACAATCGTTGGCTCTTTCTCGAGACGTGACCTTGGGTTGCCTGACAAGACAATTGCGTAAACAATACTTAACATAATAACATTATACACAAAAAAACACGGGATTTTATATCATGTATTTATTAAAAAGAATATCCATACAACTACAATGAAAACAAACATAAGATTCAACTTTCTGATCGTGAAATTAATACCATTCGCACTGTTATCGTAGCTACGTTCCCTGGCATCAAGTGAATCCAACATGACATGTTTCTTCACTAGCAGTTTGCATCCATTTGAATTTTGTTCTTCAGTCTCACGGTAGTAGTGTTGTTCAATAGATTGCATAGAGTATATGCAGTTTGGTTTCAGATTTCAGATTTTGCTTTTTACAACGAGTTTACGTTTTCAACTAAGACATTGGCATACTTGGCATACAAGACATACAAGGCATTCAATGCTTTCATGGCTTTCAAGCGTTCGCGATTCTGTCCGATCCAAAATTACCGCTCAATAACATCTTTTTGTGTGGATTGGCCGCGAACAATACGACTTGTGTATGCGTCTATAAGTATTTTGAGCGTTTGCCCCATAATGCTCCAGGTGATCGTAATCCAATTACGTTGAAATACAAAACGACTGACAAAATAGTTTTATGGGCAAAAATCTCGTGTTCGTGATGTGATCCGGCCCTGTCCGTGCATGACAACATCAGTCATCATCAAGATAGCACGCGTGATCAGCATGTGAACACCTCATTGGATCACAGTTAGTTGTCATGGTGTTGAGGGCCCAATGACCTCTGGGTACTATTGCGCAATTTTTCCATTTTGTGGCGGAGGAAAAAAAAAAAAAAAAACTAGACCCTGTGAGCAGGGTAACTGGGATACCTGGATGGTACTGGATCCTTGGAATCAAGTGTAGTGATACTACGGGTGTCGGACTAGTATACTGAAATAGTGCGCTCAAGTCTGGCCAAGGGCATACACCTATTTCAAAACATAGGCATGCTATGCGTGCAAGAGTTCCTTTTTTGTAGGGTGGGTGGATTACTTGAAACATTGTGAGTGATGTCTACATTCTTACAAAAGGAAAGAAGAGTATTAACGTGGAAAAGAACGAAAATGTCGAATTACCTCACACACAGGTATTTTGTGGTAGATTATGTGTGTTGTGCGAATAAATATAACCAAAAATAAACTGTATTGGTGCCACAGATACCTGTTAGTACAAAATGCAGTCAGCAGACCGGATACAAAATATAGACTGGAGACTGCAGAGTGGGTACAAAATGCAGACTGAGAATCTGAAGAGTTTTTACGTCTGGTAAATAATAACATGTCATCTTACAGCTTACCGAGCGTCACGCAATCGCTTTTCCTCGATCAGCCTTCACGATTATTTGCACTATTGTGGAAAATTCCTGGCCCATTTCTTGATGAAAATCGATCATAATATAATTTCAAGCCTTCAATATACTCTTCTTACTTTGTGAGCGAGTTGGTTTGTGTGATGTCTGTACAGATTTTACCAACGTAACAAAAGTGGATGATGTGAATAACAATGATAGTAAAGCAAGCTTAAAACGGCAATTCGCGACTCAATCCAGTCCAAAATTACCGCTCAATAACATCTTTTAGTGTGGATTGGCCGCGAACAATACGATTTGTGTATGCGTCGGTAAGTATTTCGAGTGTTTGCGCTATAATGCTTCAGGTGACCGTAATCAGAACACGTTGAAATACAAAACGACCGACAAAAGAGTTTTCTAAGCAAAAATCTCGTGTTCGTCATGTGACCCGGACCTGTCCGTGCATGACAACGTCAATCATCATCAAGATAACACGTGATTAGCATGTGAACACCTTCACCCTCATTGGATCACAGTTAGTTGTCATGGTGTTGAGGGCCCAATGACCACTGGGTACTATTGCGCAATTTTTCCATTTTTGGCGGAGGAAAAAAAAAAAAAAAAAAAAACAAAAAAAACATTTTATGAAACAGGTATCCCAAAAAAAAAAAGACGACAAAAAAACAAAGGCATTTTATGACTGGGCTACCACAGGTATCCCAGTAATGAGGTGTTCACATGCTAATCACGCGTGTTATCCCTCAACACCATGACAACTAATTGTGATCCAATGAGGTGTTCACATGCTGATCACGCGTGTCATCCCTCAACACCATGGCAACTAATTGTGATCCAATGACGTGTTCCCATGCTGATCACGCGTGTTATCTTGATGATGATTGACGTTGTAATGCACAGACAGGGCCGGGTCACATGACGAATCACGAGATTTTGCTTATAAAACTCTTTGGTCAGATGTTTTGTATTTCAACGTATTTGGATAGCGATCTCCTGGAGCATTATGGCGCAAACACGCAAAATACTTACAGACGCATATACAAGTCGTATTAATCGCGGCTAATCCACACTGAAAGATGTTTTTGAGCGGTAATTTTGGAACGGATTGAGTCGCAAACGCGTGAAAGCCATGAAAGCCTTGAATGCCTTGTATGCTACGTATGCCAATGTCTTAGTTGAAAAACGTTCACTTGTTGTAAAAAGCAAAATCTGAAATCTGAAACCAAACTGCATATACTCTATGCAATCTATTGAACAACACTACTACCGTGAGACTGAAGAACATAACTATAATGGATGCAAACTGCTTGTGAAGAAAGACGACATGTTGGATTCACTTGATGGCAAGGAACGTAGCTTCAATAACAGTACGAATAGTATTAATTTCACGATCAGAAAGGTGAATCTTATGTTTGTTTTCATTGTAGTTGTATGGATATTCTTTTTTAATAAATACGTGATCCAAAACCCTGTGTTTATTTGTGTATAATGTTATTATGTTAAATACTGTTTACGCAATTGTCTTGTCGCAGGCGGTCCAAGCTCACGTCTCGAGAAAAAGTTAACGATTAATTCATGAACGCGTCACGCGTTGTGTGACTCGGTGTTAAGTTACGAGAGGAACTGCACGTTATAAGGAATAGTATAGGGAACGAAGTATGGTCGATTTACAACGACACATATTTCGAAATATGAACATTTTTCTCGTAAAATCAATAAAACTTACTCATACCCTGTGCATCCGTTGTATTTTCTGGCGATTTCTGCCGTTTTAAGCTTGCTTTAGCATCACTGTTATTCACGTCATCTACATTTATTACGTTGGTAAAATATGTACAGACATCACACCAACCAACTCGCGCTCAAAGTAAAAAGACTAAATTGAAGGCTTGAAATAATATTGCGATCGATTTTCATCAAGAAATGGGCCAGGAATATTCCACAATGTGCAAATAATTGTGGAATAAGGCGGATCGCAGAAAAGCGATTGCGTGACGCTCGGTAAGCTGTAAGATGACATATTATTATATACCAGACG